TAGGGAGCAGGAGAGATCCGGCTGCTTCCCTGGGCCATGCACCAGGCTCCCAGGTCCAGGACCTCTCGCCCTGCCACTTTGTTCCGGAGTCGGAGTCCTGCCGGGGTTGGAGTGTGTAACGGTTACAGCACAAGGCCGGGAGCTCAGACTCCTGGGTTCTGTTCCCCACTCCCCCAGAAATTCGCTTTCTCCTTGGGTGAGCGGCCTGTTCCGTGCCTTGGTTTCCCCATTTGCCGAATGGGGGTTATGGCGTCTTCCGATTGTGAGTAAAGCCCTCTGGGGTCCGTGGAGCGGAAAGGGGGATCGATGCCCCTGTCACAATTAACAAGGATCTCCCCTTTCCTCCCCTTCACCAGGTGGTGACTCTCTGGTACAGGGCCCCTGAAATCCTGCTCGGCTGCAAGTACTACTCAACGGCTGTGGATATCTGGAGCCTGGGCTGCATCTTTGCCGAGATGGTATGTCCTCCCCCCGTCCCTCCCGTGCACACACGTGGTTCTTCTTGACCTGCAGAAAGGGAGGGACCCGGGGGCCAGGTGCTGCTCCCCCATTGGGTGGAGGAGCCAAACGAGCATGACTCCTATGTTGAGAGCCTGATCCTGCCCCTCCTGACAGCCGTGTGCGTGCTGGTGAGCGACAGGGGTCTTGCCTGATGCTGCTCCCCTCTGTTTGTAGCGCGTCCTGCCACGCGCTGGGGACGGGGGCTGAGTTACGTTCGATCAGGATGAGTTGCACCGTCCTGCCTCTTGCACCCAACCACCGCCGGGCCCCAGGACCCTCGCAGTGGCAGGTCTCGCCTGGTGCGTGGCACGCACGCCTCCCTGCTTCGTCTCCCCTGGGCAGGAGAGGCAGCGTTAAGCTTGCGAACGCAGGACGGGGGCAGACCCTCGCCTGATGGGCTCTGATCAAGGGCCCCCCGCATGCTGCCCGAGCTGCTGATGGTGTCAGATGGGCCTCGCTTCTTCCGCCCGGGGCAGCTCCAGGATGTGCTCGGTGACGCTGCCCCGGCCCCAGAGAGGGGTGCTGACCCGCCGAGCGGGAATCGGGAAATAAAAGGGCTCTGTTGCGTTCTCCGGGGGGTGCCCTGCCTGGTATTTCCCCTGCCCCAGGGGAAGGGGTTGTCACGGCAGCGTTGTCATGTGGAGTGCCTGGGCCGGTGTCTGTGTCATGGGGTGGGCCAGGGGGCAGGCCACCGGAGCCAGCTGGTCTTAACCCTTTGTGCCCAGGCCGTCCCCACCCCCGCTGGGTGGAGGCTGTGCTGCAGCGGGAGAGGGGGATCTGCTGAGGAGCACAAGCTATTGACTCCTCTCTCCCCCCCCACTCCCTTCTGCGCTGAGCCTGGTTACTGGGGTGTGGCCAAAGCTGCCTTGGAAAGCAGCTGCCCTGGATCTGGAGACATCAAGAAACACGGCTCCTCCACTTCCTTGGGGAGTCCGTTGCAGTGGCTAATCACACGGGCTTGGGCGGTTCATCTCCCTGCCCCTGCCAGAGACTGTCCCCAGCCCTCCGATCGCTCCCCGGGGAAGAGAGGAGGGTGGGAGGCGCTGGCCATGCTGCTGTAACGGGAAAGCCCCCCCCTCGCAGCTTAGCGCCCTGGGGGGGCTGTGCCAAGATCTTGTTTGACCCTCCCACCCCGCTCTTCAGATCACCAGGAGAGCCCTGTTCCCCGGAGACTCAGAAATAGACCAGCTCTTCCGCATCTTCCGGACTCTAGGCACCCCGGACGAGGCTGTGTGGCCCGGGGTCACGTCCATGCCCGATTACAAGCCCAGCTTCCCCAAATGGGCCAGGCAGGACTTCAGCAAGGTGGTGCCCCCCCTGGATGAGGAGGGGAGGAAGCTCTTGGCTGTGAGTAGTGGGGGACTCCAGGATCGGCTCTGCTGGCTCGGGGGCGGGTGGCGGAGAGGAATGAGGTTTCTGGGGAGAGGGCAGGGCTGGAGCGGGGGACTGGGCGCCTCCTGCCATGCAGCCAGAGCCAAGCTCCTTTGCTCTCCACCCCTGCTACGTGCACAGCAAGTGCCCCTCCTCCCTCTAGCCCCGCACTGGGGCAGCCTGAGACACGACTGGGCCATGGCTTGTCCAGCCTGTGCAGTCGGGGGCAGAACCAGGACCCCCCGCTGACGTTGCTCCCATCCCCAAGCTACAACCAGAACCCAGGAGTCCTGCCTGCGAAGCCCTGGAGATGTTGGGTTCGCAAGGATTCTCTCTCCTTCCTTGTCCTTAGCGGGGGCTGTTGGGAGACCTACCATGCTCTGCCCCAGAGGCAGCTGCACTCCAGCTGGGGGAGCGTCCCAACTTGGTGCTTCATGATGGATGGTGTCATGGGAATGACTAGTCTCCTTCCCCTCCCTCCCCCATAGGCTCCTAAGACTGGAAGAGTCATCGAGTCCAACCCCCTGGTCAAATTGGGACTCATAGGCTCATAGACTTTAAGGTCAGAAGGGACCATTATGATCATCTAGTCTGACCCCCTGCACAGTGCAGGCCACAGAATCTCAACCACCCCTCTTAGAATAATCCTCTCACCTATATCTCAGATATTGAAGCCTTCAAATACTTTGAAGGCCCGAACATGCAGAGAGTCCTTCAGCTGTGATCTGTACCCCATGCTACAGAGGAAGGCGAAAAACCTCCAGGGCCTCTGCCAATCTACCCTGGAGGAAAATTCCTTCCCGACCCCAAATATGGCAACCAGCTAAACCCTGAGCATGTGGGCAAGACTCACCAGCCAGACACCCAGAAAGTTCTCTATAGTAACTCCATTGACCTATTTCCCACTGATAATGAATGGTCAATTAGTTACCAAGATCATGTTATCTCATCAAACCATCCCCTTCATAAACCCATCTAGTTTAATCTTGAAACCAGATAGATCTTTTGCCCCCACTACTTCCCTTGGAAGGACGTTCCAGAACCTCACTCCTCTAATGGTTAGAAACCTTCATCTAATCTCAAGTCTAAACTTCCTACTAGCCAGCTTATATCCATTTGTTCTTGTGTCCACATTGGTATTAAACTTAAATGGCTGAGGACAGCAGTGGCCTATAACCGCCCATCCCTCTTCTCCCCAGCAAATGCTGCACTATGACCCCAACAAGCGGATTTCGGCCAAGTCGGCGCTGACCCACCCCTTCTTCCAGGATGTCACCAAGGCCGTCCCTCACCTGCGCTTGTGAAGTGGCTTTGGGGAGGGGGCCAGCCCGGCCTCTGCTGCCCCTGCACTGGCTCCGTCTGGCTTGTGCCTGTATCTGAATCCAGCTCCTGGGCCCGCCCCAGGGCTCCTGTGGCTCATTCTGCCTCTGGGGACTTGCACTTAAGCCTCCCGACCTTGCGGCTGCTGAACTGAGGGGGTGGGACCCCCATCCCAGCCCCCATAGCCCTGGTGGGAGCTCCCAGTCTGTGACTCTGATCCTCCCTGGAGGGCTTGGATTCCAACACCAGCAATGGGACATTCCTCGCTGCAGCTGCGACCTTTCCCCTTTTGCCTCCCTCAGTGTGCCCCCATCTGGGACTTTTTTCGGAGGTGTCTTGCGTCCTCTGGAGGCCCCTCCCCCCCAATTTCCTGCTCCAAACCCCCCTGGACACCCCACACCTCGTCGATGGGAGGAAGCCTTGGAGGGTCCGCCTGCTTCGCATCTAGCACCCTGGAATCTGTGCTGCATCTGGGGGGAACTCCAGCGGATGCTCCCTGCAACTCCTGTACCTGCTGCGAGCTTGCCCCCGCTGCCCCAATCCCCGGTGGCTCTCTGGATTGTGGAGTCTGCCTCCCACAGGCCCACTTGGCTCCCCTCCTCTCCTAGCAGGCTCTGACCCCACAGCTTAGCAATCCCCCTTTGTCCCGTGAGTAGAAGCATTTTGCCTTCATGCACCCTCCACTCATATCCCCCCTTCCCACAAGAACCTTCTCTCCAGCGTGATGCCCGGGTGCGCCCTGTGCTGCAGGGCAGCGTGTTGAATCCAGCAGCTGAAACTGACCGCCGCATCCGGCTCATCTCGTGGCCTCCCGGCAAGATGCCACCAGATCCTCTGCTCCCCGAAGGGCTTTGTTCCCAGTGGAGCCCCTGGCCCAACGGTGCTGCCGTCCTCTCTGACAGATTCTCTGCCTGCTGCCTCATTGGCTGCTCAGTCTTTGGTGCTGCCTATGGCCAAGCTTGATGCAAGGGGACTGATCCTCGATGGGCGTCGATCACTGTGGTTCCACTGATTTGTGAATGGTGCTTATGCCAGGTACAGATCTGGCCCCAGAACCTGAAACACACACCAGCTGTTGCGAGGTGAGTCATGCCAGCCACACGCTGGGGAGGGCTGTCTCCCAGTGGTGGGGACTCCTTGTCGCTTTCTCTTTGGCTCAGATCTTTGCATACCAGAAGTGCTTCAGCCCCGGGGAAAGTCTGGCTCTGGCACATGGACCAGATCTCCAGCTGCTGTGGCCGATGCAACTCCCCTGAGTTCAGAAGAGCAGTGGTATTTACGCTAGCTGAGAATCGGGGCTCTGAAACCAGCTTGTGCACCCAACCTGAGATTTTTTTTAACTCTCCTCCTCTTCTCCTGTGAGCTTCTCCAGCCACAGTGATGCCTGCGTTTCTGAAAGGTCAGCTTTGGCCATCCAGCAAGGAATATGATTAGAAATCCTCAAAGAACAGCCTGAAGCTGGGGGATTCCTGAGTCAGGATTGGTGCAATCTGCTCAGATGGTCCTTGAGGATGGAGAAGGGGGACACTCTGTAGGAAAGTAGCCACCACCACTTAGCCTTTGGTAACAGCCAGATGTTCAGCAGCTGCTCCCTTTAAATGCAATGCAGACTGGGTGCTTGAATGGATAGTAGCACCATCATCAAGATTACTCGGGTAGCAGGTATTGATAGGGGCTTCTCTCCACCACAGTAATGCGGTCAGTTGCAGAGGAGCGTGACTACTGCCTTAGAAACTGCCACATCTGTAAACATCCCATGGTGTATGTAGTGGTAGCTATCACCTGCCCACTTCCAACCTCTTGGGGGTCTGTTTAAAAAGAGGATGGGGGAATCACATCTATCTCAAAACTGATCAGTTGACAATAGATAAATAGGCTGTTTAAAAACAGACTTTAGTGTATTTTATAGTAAAGTTTTATATTTAAGGGTTGTTTATAAAAGTATTTTAGAGGTACACATTAATATTCCAGGAGAGGAATGATCCTTAAGAGAATCGGTGAATTTAGCTCATAAGCCACCAAGTAGGTGGTGAGGATTGAAAATCAGAATGGTTCTGTTCCTACCACAGCTATTTTGATCTCTTGTCTCTTGAGTTTCTGCAGAGCAGAAAGGTTCTGTCTCATTTCCTTCCACAGCAAACTATTTTTTTTTCTCAACTTATTTGATTAAAAAAATTTGCAGGGTTAGGACACCAATGTAAAGTGCCTGATGAGAACCAGTTTGAGGAGGGCGGGAAAATTGAGTCTCAGAACCTACAGCTACAGGGTGGAAGAGAGTTCCACCAAAACCATGCTCTTGCCAGTTTATGATTGAAAACAGAGCGCGATGGAGGAGGGGGTTAATAGCTATAACATAATATTGGGGAGCATGAATATATATATATATATTTTTAGACTGGAACAAGTAGGGAAATATTTATAAGGCTGTGTTAGTTTTAAAGCAGAGTTCTGGATTTGTACAAAGTTCATTAGACAAGCACCATGGACTTTTTTTCGAAGTGAATATTTAAAAAACAAACAAACAAATCCTAGAATATATTTGTCCTTGATTTTTGTAATTCTTTCTAGACTGTTTCTTACCAGATGTTAAAGATACTTTGTGATTGGTTTATAAATCATTAAAAATATTCTTAGTTTTAACTTGAGTTGTGAATGTGATTCCTCCCCCCCGCTCCCCCCAGGGAATTGCTGAATAGCTACTGAAGAAAATATCTTTTATTAGATGAGAGAGGAAGTCCTAGCCAGTGGTTAGGTTACTTAGAAACCGGTTCTGTTCCTACCTCTGCTACAGAGCCTGGGCAAAACACCCAAGCCCATATCCACAAAGGTATTTAAGTGGGTGTTAGACACATCAAAACCTTTGAGTCTGCATTCGGCAGACTGCTGACCAAAGTGTGGGATCGCCGTGGAATAAGCCTTGCTACAAAGCTTAAAGTCTATCGAGCAGTAGTGTTAACTACCCTGATGTATGCCAGTGAGACTTGGACTGTATACAGGAGGCACGCTAGGCAACTAAACCACTTCCATACGATTTGCCTTCACAGACTTCTGAGGATCCGGTGGCAGGATAAGTTGCCAGACACAGAAGTCCTTTCTAGAGCAGGCCTGCCATCAGTTTACACCCTGCTGATGAAAGCTCAGACACGCTGGGCAGGCCATGTTGCAAGGATGCCAGATCATTGCATCCCTAAACAGCTCTTCTATGGTGAGCTGTTTCAAGGGAAGCGATCGCACGGGGGAATAAAGAAGCGATACAAAGATACGCTTAAAGCCTCTCTCAAGTCCCTGGATATTGACACCACCTCCTGGGAGACCCTGGCACAAGACCGATCAACATGGCACACGCTGATCTACCAAGGCTGTCAAACATCTGAAGCCAGAAGGACAACCATAGCACAAGAGAAGCGAGCACTCCGTAAAGCCAGAGTTGCAAAAGCTGCAACAGTGGTGCCCCCACATGTCTACCCGACATGTGGCAGAACATTCCGTGCCCGTATCGGCCTTCCCAGCCATTTGCGGACACACCGTGGACAGTCCACAACCCGCTAGATGTCAAGGTCCTCTTCAAATACGATGGACGAACAACAGACACATCAAAACCTTTGAGGATCTGGGCTTAAGAGTTCCTAGTCATGGGCTAAGCCCCCATGGTGCTAGATGGAGACAGTCCCTCCCACAAAGAACTTATAATACAAAACAACAGATGAAAGTGCATAAGCAGACTAGTACCAATGAGATGTGCAGTTAAACTAGGGTCCACTAAGTTGATTTAGGAAAGTGCAGTTCATCCCTGGAGTCTTGTCAGTAGTTTTTCCTTTTTTTAAAAAAAAGTGGAGCCATTTTAGTGGGAGGGAAATAGACCTTGCAGTAGATGTACTGATAATGGACACAGCTCCCCTTAGTAGCTCCAGCCATATTGGGATGGGCAGCCCTCCTGTTATGCCAGCCCTGCGATCCTCAGTCCTCACCTACAGCCTGCCCTCTTATCTGCAATAGCAGCTGCTGTATTCACTGCAGTGTGAGCTCTCAGGGGGGCCCACGGGTTAGCTTTTGAGTGTGTTTGTACAGCACCTGGTGCAGTTGGGGGTGGGGAGGGCTGACAGGGATAGCAGCTCTGCCAATAACTGGGGGGGGGACTGGCAAGACAGGCTCAGGCCCTCTCCTGGGTCACAGTGGGGCTGGTGGGAGTCACAGTAACCACCTGTTAGACCCGTGGCCCCGCAGTGCCCGGTGCCCCACAGGCGTGATGGGCCATGCTTGGCCTGCCCTGCCCGGCTGCTGGCTCCCTGCCCATGCTCAGCCCTCCATGCCTGAACCTAGCCCCTGCCATGGGTCATTGTCCCTGGGCCACAGGCCCAGCCCTGCCTTTAGGGGGCTGGGCCCTCAGGCCCCGCCCCTAATATTAGGCCCCTCCCCTAATCTTAGGCCCCGCCCTCTTGTAGGCCCCACAGTCAGCCCCCTTTTCTAACCCTGGCTCCGCCCCCTAGGTATCTCATGGCCCCGCCCCCCAGATTCTGAGACCACCCCCCAGACCCTCTGCCTATTTTTAGCTCAATAAAGCTAAGGGAAGGGTTATGATAAGGTGAAAGGTCAGATTCCCAGGGGCCTCCGCGCCTACACCCGCCTTCTCGCTTTGCCAATCATCCGTGAACTCGTTTCTGATTGGCTAGCGGGGAGGCGGGGAGTTAACCGACGCCCGCGGGGTGCTTGTCAATCATAGCACTCTGGTCTGTGATTGGTAGAGATGGAGCCCGTCTGCCCTGTGATTGAAAAGTAGGGACGGGATTCCGGATTCTGATTGGACGGTGGAGCTGGAAAGTGCCGCCCCTTTAGGTCACCTTATTTGTTGTTGCCGCAGCCTCCGGAACTACTGCTGTTTCATTGGTCTCAGGAACCGTCAGCTAATATAAGAGCCAGCCCTACCGTGACGTTTCACCAGTTTATTGGTTCGTGAAGTTCCATGTTGTTCCCGTCTCCATTGGCTACATTGTGCGCCTGTCCAGCCAATTCTGAGTCCCTATTGGTGAATCTGCGAGAGTGGCCCGGCGATGCCTTTTCTGGAGCGGTGATTGGGCGCGTTGCCTGTCGGAGGCGTGCCCGCTCCCCTGCTGCCCGGCGCGGGTTGGGCCAGCCG